TGCACTTGTATATAGTGGTGACTTCAAAATTGGGGCGACAGTAGCCCAGAGCATTGGCCTTTGAGCCTGAAGGTTGTGGGTTCAAGCCCACCTCAAGACTTTCTCCAGTGACCCCCACTGATGTCCGCTGTTGTTGTGTCCTTGGCAAGACACTTAACCCCCATTGCCTAGAATGAGCCTGGTGTGTGTGTGAATGGTCGGTGGTGCTCGGAGGGGCTGATGGCACAGACTGGTTGCCTCGCTTCAATCAGTGTGCCCCAGGGCAGCTGCGGCTACAGTAGTAGTTTATCACCACCGTGTATGAAGTGAAAGAATATGTAAAGTGTCTTTGAGTGTCCAAAAAAGCGCTATATAAAACCGATGCATTATTATCATTAATTTTAACCCTTTAATGGTTTCCTCAACCATTTGGTGGATCACCTTTTTTCCACAACTTGAAGCTTGGAACTGAACTCTAACTCATGAGGACATCTTCATCACTTGGTTTTAGGCACTTTTACCATAAAGCTGCATCTCAATCATTTGGTAAAGGCCTATAATAAAATTACGATATCTTAGGAAACCCAAAAAATGATATTGCTTTCTTCAAAGAGTGAACATTAAATTGTTAAGAAATGTTATGTCATTTTTTAAAAAGCATGCGTTATTCTATTTTCAATTGTTTGCACCGAGAGCAAAAGCTATTTCCTTGTTTGTGACTTCCTGTTACTCACTACGGCATGAATAATGATTCTGATTTTATCTTGAACAAAACCAGATTTTTATAATAACAGTAATTAGAAAAGTGAATATTATTGTGTAAGTTCAAGAGGTCAGCCCTATGTTCTAACAGCTCTATGTTCTAACAGCTCTATGTTCTAACAGCTCTATGTTCTAACAGCTCTATGTTCCAACAGCTCTATGTTCTAAAAGCTCTATGTTCTAACAGCTCTATGTTCTAAAAGCTCTATGTTCTAACAGCTCTATGTTCTAACAGCTCTATGTTCCAACAGCTCTATGTTCTAACAGCTCTATGTTCTAACAGCTCTATGTTCTAACAGCTCTATGTTCCAACAGCTCTATGTTCCAACAGCTCTATGTTCCAACAGCTCTATGTTCCAACAGCTCTATGTTCCAACAGCTCTATGTTCCAACAGCTATATGTTCCAACAGCTCTATGTTCCAACAGCTCCATGTTCCAACAGCTCTATGTTCCAACAGCTCTATGTTCTAACAGCTCTATGTTCCAACAGCTCTATGTTCCAACAGCTCTATGTTCTAAAAGCTCTATGTTCCATCAGCTCTATGTTCCAACAGCTCTATGTTCCAACAGCTCCATGTTCCAACAGCTCTATGTTCCAACAGCTATATGTTCCAACAGCTCTATGTTCCAACAGCTCTATGTTCTAACAGCTCTATGTTCCAACAGCTCTATGTTCCAACAGCTCTATGTTCCAACAGCTCTATGTTCTAACAGCTCTATGTTCCAACAGCTCTATGTTCTAACAGCTCTATGTTCTAACAGCTCTATGTTCCAACAGCTCTATGTTCCAACAGCTATATGTTCTAACAGCTCTATGTTCCAACAGCTATATGTTCCAACAGCTCTATGTTCCAACAGCTCTATGTTCTAACAGCTCTATGTTCCAACAGCTCTATGTTCTAACAGCTCTATGTTCCAACAGCTATATGTTCTAACAGCTCTATGTTCCAACAGCTCTATGTTCCAACAGCTCTATGTTCTAAAAGCTCTATGTTCCATCAGCTCTATGTTCTAACAGCTCTATGTTCCAACAGCTCTATGTTCCAACAGCTCTATGTTCCAACAGCTCTATGTTCCAACAGCCCTATGTTCTAACAGCTCTATGTTCTAAAAGCTCTATGTTCCAACAGCTCTATGTTCCAACAGCTCTATGTTCCAACAGCTCTATGTTCTAACAGCCCTATGTTCTAACAGCTCTATGTTCTAAAAGCTCTATGTTCCAACAGCTCTATGTTCTCCAGGTTTTTGGATTGTTGGATTGTTCAGATTTGCAAGGTTAGGGCACGGGTGAGGGTGAAGGGCTGCACGTTTATGGAAAACATCTAATTGTGATCTGTTTATGGACTTTTTAACTTGACTCTGTACAGTTTTAGTGGCTATAGGACACTCATTGTCACTGTAGCTATGACACACATTGTTAGAATAGACAAAAATAGTGAATGGTAGCGTAGCGGCTAACCGTTAGGCTGTTCAACGTCTCGTCATTAAGACATGGTGTGACCAGTTAAAACAGTCGTCTATCTGCTACATTACATGAAAATCTGCATATCATATGAAAGAGTAACTTATATTTGGAAAAATTTGGTGGTGCGGCTTATATACAGGCGCACCTTATGGTCCAGATAGTACAGTAGTTACTCCCAAAACACCGGTTGTGCAAGACATTGTGATGGTGCAAGACAAAAGATATAAAAGAACGGAACGTCATTGCCAATTCTTCAAAATAAACCTAGATTATTATTCATTTTCCAAAATTAGATTTCTGCTCATGTGTTATCTCTTTTGTTAACTGCAAAGAACTTTGATAATTGCGGTTTTGAGATGTGCTAATTGCGACTATGGAAACTGCTATCTCAATTAGATTGCGATTAATAAAAGCAGCCCTAATAATGGAAGCACACACAGAAATATTCCAGTTTATTCACAAACACTGATCCACTCTCAGAAGACGTGGGTGTGTCCATTTCAGAAAGGTATCAGAGTGCCTCAGATTCCTCACTGTGTATGCGCCTAGGTGTTTACTTTGATCTTAAAGAACACCTGAC